AAGAAGTGTGATATGGACCAATATGAATGATAAAATGAAGAGAAAAACAGTCTGAAAATGACAGATAACTTATACAAGGCTATTCATGCCTGTTTAAAACATCTAACACTTCAAATTAAAACTTAAAAAGTAAGTTAATCTACTCTCCGGTAATGGCATATCTTCCGCTACAGAAGTAATGGTTATACAGCCATAACTCAGCGGTTTCGGGAATTAAGTAGAGGCATTTCCTCCAGTGACGCTGTAGATTCCACCTTAACACAAACAAGAAATGCCCCACCTTTTACGGAATATGAAGCTTCATTACCATATATACAACATCCCACCATTGAACCCTATCTTATATCAGAGGAATCCAGTCCAAACCCTACCATCTACTGCCAGGTCTTCCAAGTGTTCCCTTTTAGGTTGTCTGACTACAATTTGGAATGCATTTCTCATCTCACCTGTAGATGCTACATTCCAGCCTCTCTCATTTATTTAGATTTGATCACCCTAATTATATTGTTGAAAAGTACAAATTATAAAGGTCCTCATTATGCACTTTTCTCCAGTGTCCTGTTACGTTCTCCTTCTTTGTAACAAATATTCTCCCCAGCACTCTGTTCTCATGCACCCTCAATCTGTGTTCTTCCCAGAACCCTCTTAACTGGTATTATTTTGTGCTAGTTGAGCCCCCACTGCTGGGACTTCAGTTTTCATGGTTTATGAACAACGGCTAGCACAATACATTTATTTTTCCAGAAGCTTCTTCATGGCAGTGCATGGTAGTTACTTCCCACCTAATTCTAAACTCAGTCAATAAGGAGTCCCACACGTCAACATAATATACTAGTGCGTAGCAATATGGGCTGTGATGCTATGTAACCTGCTAGCTGTTAACTGATGTTTCAGAGAAATGTCAGTGAACCACCAGGCTACACAGTGTTGCAGCGAAGAAAATAGTACTGTTCACAGCTGCTGCCACAAGAACGTCATATTTCATGTGAGAAACAAAGTTTCATAGCCAAACAAAACAATGTATAAAATTCTAGTATTTTAACCTCTGTTCTTTCACTAAAGTAACACTGTTTGGTTTTGTAATGACAGAAATAAACTGATCATATGTCAATATTCTCATGTTCACCACAGGTGTTTCCAAAGAACCACAAAAAGGGATCAATGCAAATGGCGATCCTTCCTGGATAGAACAGTCTGCAACAAGTAGCATGATTACAATACTGTCCCTAGTGTGGGTGTTAAACTTGGATGATCTGCATCTTGATCCAAATAGCACACAGCATGATGTTCTTTGGTTGCCAGTGGGATAATGGGTTCAACTTATATTTGTGTGACAGCTGGGTGGGGTGGATTTTTAGTGCTCACAGTGGTGACTGCAAAGAGTACTTAAGGTCTAAAAGTTTGTGACGATGTTTCTTGACATTGTCCATCACCCTGTTTTTATTTAAAACACACCATGTTTCGGAGATGAGTATATCTCTGTCTTCAGGTGGAACCCACTCAGTTGGGCCCAATCAACAAGAGGTGGTTCCTATCTCCAAAGACCAGCACGAACACAAATACGATATATAAACCAAGCACAGCATAAACCATACACAAGAGAGGATATACACATGATGTATAGTATAAACCATATATGTAGATATATATATCCTGTCCTGTGTTAGTGTTGGTGCCAGAGATAAGGACTAGTTCTATCGACTGGGCCCAACTGAAGACAGAGACAGAATGCAGTCTCCGAAATGTTGTGCATTTTATATAAAAACAGGATGGTGGATAATGTCTCGAAACACAATACTCTGTATGAAGATCACTGTCTTCTAAGATGTGACGTTGTGTAGTCTCGTAGAAATTCACCGATGTTTCGGAGGAATGTACTGCCTCTATATTCAGAGTTGAAGGGTAAGCCAAGCAAACAACAAGAAGCAGGTAGTACGCAAAGTTCTGCTTTCTGCTTCTGTTCTTGACCCTGAAGATGGAGACAGTACCTTCCTCTGAAATGCTGGTGAACTTCCACATGTCATATTACACTTGAGAATTAATAATTTGCTTACTGTCATCATGAATCACCAGTGGACCTCGATCTTTATCCTTCAAAACTTCATATAGATCTTTCAACTTTTTTCTAATTTCTACCACTTCATGTTCATATTTGCAGGAAAGAAGTGGATGAATTATAACAGTGGACGCATCATCCAGACTCTGCTCAACACAGTCTTCATCTGATATAAGAAGACCAGCAAATCCTGAAAGAATATTTCTTTGTCTTTCGATTTCTGTACAACTTTCTACAAGCTCTGAAGCTGCATTCTGCTCACAAAGTTGTCTGCTTATTGATACTGGGTTTCTTCTGTAACACTCTTGTCCAGCAACTGAGTCTCTTTGTTCGGCATCACCCAACAGAAATCCGACTGCTGATGTCTCATTCTTTTCACCACTGTCTAGAACTTGCAGTCTTACATAGTCTAAGCTTTCTTTATCATCAACTGAAGGTTTATCCTGTACTGCAGGCAATAATATTTGTTTATCAATAGTCAGAAGTTTATTCTTCCTTGCAGTTCGGCCACTACTGCTATATCCTACGTTAACTTCAGCTTTAGTGTCCTCCTCTCTTCGGAATGGCCTGGTATAACAATTTACCACATTACTTTTTGCTCCAGACTCTGTGGTATTACTGTCACTTGGTAGAGGCTTCTCCTTCCATGAAACTGGGCCTTTACTACACTTTTCTACATCTCTTGTCTCTTCTGATGTTGAGGTCTCTGTATCACTGAACAGCAGTCTCGCCTCCCTCAGGGTTTCATTCTCTTTTCTTCGAGATATTGCAATTTCTTCACCGCTAAACAAAAATTTATCCTTTCTTAGTGTTGCATCTGTATCACAGCTTTTTATAATTTTTTTTCTTCCATAACGTAACATTGGCTTTTCTTTCGCCCCAGAATTCTGTTTATTTTGTTCTATACCAGACAACATTTTCTGTACACTTTGGGTTCTGGTGTCATTTTGAATAAGTGTTCCTTTTCTGTAAGCAGGAACTTCTTTCACAGTAGACTGACTTCCTTTTCTTATGCATGGGGTATCAACATTTTCCTTATTAATTTTTCTGCGAAGTATTGAGACTTCTTCACCACTACACACATGGTTTTCATATCCGGAAATCTGATTCTTCTTATGTTTTCTGCCAGCATCTGTATCACAGGCTGCGTTTGGACCCTTCTCATGGTTTTCCATTATCTGTTTCCTTGTAGACTTTATGTCTGCAGGTGCCAGCTCTTTTTCCCTCAGAGTTTGGTTATTATTATTACAAATTTCCGCTGTTGTTTCTGTCTTCGGTATACAGACTCTGTCAGCAGCAAGTTGTTCTCCATTTGTTAGAATTGCACTCTTATCACAGTTTTGCAGAATTATTTTCTTTGGCAGTGGAGTGCCTTTATCAGCAGGGAAAAGAATTCTGTTCCTTGAAAGTGACCTTTTGTTACAGTTGATAAAAGAATGGGTTAAATGCCTAACCCTTATACTCCCTGTTATAAATCTTTCAGACTTTGTATCCCAAATCTTGCTACAGTTCTCCAGAGACTGCTCTGCTGACCTCTTTCGAAATATTGGCTCCTCCTCTTCACCAAATCCATCATGCATGTGGTCTTCCTCAGTCATTCCAGATACGATGTCCACATTCTTAAATTCTTTTGAAAGAAATTTTATGCTGGTATCACGTTCCTGAAGGCAGATGTTTGTATTAGATGAAACATATGCTGATTCTTCACCTGAAGCAGATGAACTCAGCTTTGGCCATTCATGGGCAAAAGGGGAAATCTGGTTGGCATGTTCAGCATGCGAAGAAGTATTGATCCAATGTTGAACTGAATCCTTTGATTTTCTATACTTCTTTCTGTCTTCCCATGAACCACCTGCAATTAAAAGAAATAAACATTATAACATCTGACAGACAAGATCCTAAGTGAAGAGAACTGTCTTCGGGAATATGACACCGTGTACTATGGCAGAAGTTTACCAACATTTCAGAGGGACTTCAGAGTCAAATTCTGCTGTTTGCTTGGCTTACTCTTCAACTCTGAACACACAGTGAACATGTTCCCCTGAAATACTGGCACACTTCTACCAGACTACATGGCGTCACATCCTAGAAGAGAATGAAATTCATAATCATTACTGTGAAAACCTCAAATTTCACAATAATCTGATTAAAAAAAACAATAATTTACTCATTATCCAGATAATTAAATATAATAGAAACATACTTCATGAATTATAATTTACCCTGCTAATCCTCAATCTATCAATTGCTCCACATTCATTAGGTATCCTACTATCTCACACTGTGTCGTCTTGATACTGACAGTGTCATTACATAACTAACATAAAGGATAAGCGGCCTCCGTAGTCTAGGGGTTACGTTCCCACCTCATGACTCAAGGTACGCGGGTTCAAACCCGGTGGAGGTGGTGGAATTTTTAAGGGCGGAAAAATTCAGGGAACAAGTCCTCCGGGAGGGACTTTAAGCCGTGGGTCCTGTGTCGTAGATTTACGGCATGTAAAAGATCCTCATGTCTCTAGGAGACCTCTGAGCAAAATTAGGCAAAATGTTTCCCGCCCAAGTAGTTTCCAGTGCCTCCGTTAGATGGGGAAAGTTATCGGGTACCACTGCCAGTAGAGGGCCGACCTCGCTGGCAGAAAGGGGAGATAGCGGGCACGAGTATCGGTAGGGTATAGTGACAGTAGAAATTAAAGTGGGACGTACAATAGACTATTAGTTGTGGTGCATGGGGAAACGAACCCCCTCTATACTGAATAACTGAATAACATAAAGGATATAGTATAAATGGAATGGAAAATAAAAATGTATCAGGTGTTATTAAGTAGAGGATCTAGTGCTTCTGTTGCAGACTTACAGATGGGTTGCCATGTAGCAAAGACAATCAGACAATGTACACTAACCTGGTGATTCAATGTGTGTACTTAGTGGTACCACTTCATTACAGGAGGAAGACAAACTCTTCACGCTACAATCGCCAAGTTTGTTTATGCTTATAGTCTCCTGGTTCAGGCTATTCTCTTCCTGAAGAGTAAACAAGAATCGACATAACAGTAAAAGGTAAATGTAGTTTCAGCAACACCTCAGGACAGCCGAGCAGGAACATTCCCAAAGTTACATCTGATGGTGGAAATGGATCCAGTTTATGAAATACTGTGTTTGAAAATGAACAAGATGATCGACAGCGTCCACAATAAAAGTCATGTTTATTGGATATACTGTGTTTAACTCTCAATCTTGCAATCCTAATGCTAAAGGCTATGCATGAGTTACAAGACTGTTTCATAACATCAAGAGAGAGAGGCCATTGTGCTCCAGATAAGAAGCTGAAAATATTTGAACTTATACTCCATGTACTATGGGAATGAGAGTGCATCATCATTCATTATGTGACCTATGCTGTCATTAGAAAGTTACTAGATTCTCTTTTCAGCATACCTCTATTTTCATATATGGTGGGAAATTTGAACATGCTTCCAATGGGTCCTTTCTTCTGTAAGGTATAATGTACCCTGGTTCATAGAGTAGAAAAATTTTAGCAAAAAAAATTATCCACTAAGCATCAGCCAGAATATTTGGACCAAAGAGAGATGAAGTCACAGGAGGCTGAGAAAACTGCATAATAAGGAGCTTCATAACTTGTACTCTTCTCCAAGTATAATTAGAATGATCAAGTCAAGGAGGATGAGGTGGGCAGGTCATGTAGCACGAATAGGGGAGACGAAAGCCAGAAGGTAAGAGACCACAGGGAAGACCAAGGCGTAGGTGGGTGGACAATATTAGGCTGGATCTTAGAGAGATAGGATGGTATGGATTGGATAGATCTGGCTCAGGATAGGGACCAGTGGAGGGCTCTTGTGAACACGGTGATGAACCTTCGGGTTCCATAAAATGCTGGGAAATTCTTGAGTAGCTGCAGAATTGGCGGCTCCTCAAGAAGGGCTCAGCTCCATGAGTAAGTAAGCATCAGCCAAGTAAGTTCACAGAAGAACGTGCCTCACAAGCTTCATCATTTTACTCACTGGCAGGGAAAAGTTAAAAACTGCACTCTTACCCACTGCTCATATTTCTCTTGCATCTTTTTCCACAGTAGTGCCCGCTTCAAGAGTACTCTGTCAGAGAGTTTGAAAGGTATTCCTGAACAATTCCTACCAACCAACCTGGAAAAATTTAAGTGCCTCAGTCAGACAACAAAAATAGTATTAAGATTTAACACATGAAAGTAGTGCTGTTTACATTATGGACTGAATTAATGAGCATGTGGGCTGCCCATATCCTATGCAACACGCTGTCATGGCTCTTAGATAAAATATTACTGGCGAAGTATTCTCTAAATTATCCGTGGCTCCCCGACTTTTATCATGCTCATGGAGCCCTGGTCACACATTGCCCATTCTGACAGTTTCTTAAAACACACTTTCCTGCTTCAGATTGTGTTTTCCTGCACTGTAACACTGTGCAGTCCTGTAGGTAGATACGAACAACGTGTGCCCACAATACTACACTGTGGCACAACCCAAACTATAATTATACTATGACACAAAATAAAATAACCCACAAACTAAAGTCTGAATAATCACTGTCGTAAAAGCCTCAAACTTCTATACCTTCCTGCTGTTGATAACACACTTGTATCCAAAACAGAAGACATCTCGTCTTTTGTGACTTATCTGCTGTGCAAATGCGATATATACAATATTCTATAAATGCGTGTATATCGCATCATTCTCAAACCAAAACAATATTTCCAAACGCCATATTTAAACATAACAAATGCAGCCAACACACAGAGCGGATGTCAATCCCCATCGACAGATCTGCTGCCAACACTATAAGATTAATTTTTCTATCTCAACATAGTAGCGACGACAGGAGCAATACATACAAAATTTTGATTGGAAACACTCCTGGGAAACGCCCATTTATTGGAACTTTTGTGACATATCAAATATCAATTGTAATTATTATAATCATATTACGTAACATGGGTACTTTACTAAATATTTTGTTTGACATCGTTTCAGTGATCTTCCTTTTCATTTTTCTGTCTGACAATTGAGTAACTGTAGTTTATTGTAATCTGTACGATGTATTCAGTACATTTGTATTGTACATTTATGCATTAAATAGATAAGTGAGTGATACGAGACGGAAGACTTAGCAATTATGATTAGATGTGCTTGACTGACCCATCTGAAAACATGCCTTTCTTCCTGATTTCCGTCAATATTTCCTGTTTCCGAAACGTAATATTTTTTATATATATATAATATTACGCGTGGAACACACTGAATCTCCAGAACACTAAGTTCAAGTTTGAAGAGTTTAATTCCTAGGATGTAACACAAATTTGTTTGCTTCTTGCCTCACGCTGGTTTCTCGTTTGGCTTAGTAATTCATCCTTGAAGATGGAGGCGATATGATCCTCCGAAACGTCGGTTGACTTTCACCGGACTGCATGGCGTGTTGACCCGCATGTTAGAATTCTACATAGTACACTCTTGCCATTATGCAGCAGGAGTACCAAGATGGCGGATGATGTGTTCGGATGTGCGGTTGGTGCTTGGTGAAGTTTGCGTTTCTGATGAGTTCTGAGATGGGGTGAATATGTGAAACTAATAAGAATATAGTGTTAATGTATTGGTGTATATATTTTTACTTTAGTTGCTGAACTCTTTTGCTGTACAAGAAAATGGCGACTGATAAGATAAAAGTTGCAGTACGAGTCCGGCCTTTCAATAGAAGAGGTAGGCCTCGTTGCGCGACGAGACATGGATGACAGCGAATGTTTTTTTTTCTTCATATTCCTGATATTGTTCGAAGATATTTGCATGCGTAAAATTTGGTGTAATGCAAATAAATATAATTATATCTCTCATCTATCTTAATAGCGAATGTAGCATATTAGAAGTGTTTACGTTATATACACCAAATGTATGCACTTCGGAGTGATTTTTTTTTACGTAAAGACGTTTAATTTTTGTTTATTAATTGATGTAGGAGGTATAATTTCTTAATGACCAGATTCATTTGTATATCCATGGGCTGTCAAGTATTTTAAATCAACAAAAAATTATAATGATTCATGTTTTTTTAGGTCCGGAATTCTGTTCACGAGTCTCGCAAACGTGAATGGACATTAATTATTTTTATTACCCTCCCCAAATTGTGTAATGCCGTATGGCAAATCTCAAGGCCATAAACTATAAACGCAAATTTGTCTCCGAAAATCAGTCACGGATGTGACGCAATGAATAATCAAATTATTGGCAAGTATTGTTTCGTGGCAGTTACGCAAGTATAATTACGCTAATTCGGACCGAGAATCGTAAGTTAATTTTTGATGTGTTTCTCTCGAGCTTCTAGAGTACAAGGAGTGTGACAGTAGTATTGTTGTATGCATATCTGGCATTCTGATGATCATCTGGCCCCACGGAATCTTCAGTAGAATCAACACATTAAAATACTGGTGCAGCTGAAAAGAGAATAGAATAGAATAGAATTTTCTTGCATTCTATAGATCCTTCATAGACCTGAGCCAGTTATGTAGTAGATATCGTGTTAGAAATACGGTATTTGTTTCCAATTGAAATGTAAACACATGTACAGACATATCTGAGAATTCGGTATTACATCAAAACAATTGTATCTTTGCACCGTGACCATTGTTACTTGCATGTGTTTGGAACAGAATTTTTTATTAAGGTAAATTCTTCTACAGGGTATGTTTTAAGGTCAACAGAGTCAGTTTTCAAAACATATATTGAGTTCACCATCTGCCCAGATACATCCCTCATTCATTTATTTTCATTTTATGCTGTAGATCAAAGTACAGTAATTATAACAATATAGTTTGATATCAGCCACATAGGCCCTTCTACCTGTAGCGCCGTCATTCCTTTCTTTTAATTTTTAAAATAGTATTTTTGTTTTCTGTTTGGAGTAGTTTAGGATCCTCATAAACTACGCATTTAATTAGAAATTGTAGGCCACCTAGTAGTTTGTAATCAGAACTGTTTCTGTGGGTAAAGTATGCTGCCTAGTTAAGCTTAATGCTTGCGTGTTATGGATGGGGTTTTGCGGGCAGTTGCTGTGATTTACGGTTTGTGGTTAGCACATTTAATCTTAAATATTATTGGACAGAGAAGCTTAGCTCTTCGAACCAAGAAATTTATCAAAATGATATTTATAAAAAATTCATCACCTCTCTCACAGAAAAGGGGCATGCAGTAGCGTAGTTGGTTTAGGCACTATGTTACAAGCCGGAAGGTCGCGGGTTCGATTCTAGATCATTTGATTTTTCAATTGACCTAATCCTTCCAGCTGCACTGTGGCCCTGAGGTCGACTTAGTCTCTAACAGAAATGAGTACCAGGAATCTTCCGGAGGGTAAAGGGAGGCCGGCGCGTAAGGCTGACAACCGGATCGCCATCTGTGAGCCGATTGTCTAGAAAATGTGGGAGCCTCGCCGTCTCACAACCGTATGGGCCTCTGCGGCCTGTTAAGGGATAGCGTTACCTTTTATTAATGTCACAGTAAACCTTGTTCCTTTTTTAAAGAGAGAAAGTGTGTGATTTTGTGAAAGGAAACAATTTCTGTTTACTCTGAGAACATGTCTTCTGGGATGTGATGTTGTGTAGCCGGGTACATTGTTGCCATGTTTTAGAGGAATCTGCTGACTTCATCTTCAGGTCTCAAAGGTGTCACTTCTACCCTGAAGATGGAGGCAACAGGATTCTCTGAATTTTGAGGAATGATGAATCACACTACATAACATCATGTCCCAGAATATGGTAGTCTTCATAGTTACTGCAGTGAGAGTCTCAGATTTTGAATTTAAATTAATTTGATTTGATTCTCTTTGTGATGTTTTCTGGGTTTTGTATTCATTTGTCTTTTTATGAAATGAGCGTTTCTTGTCCAGTACATTCATAGTTTGAGGCTTTATTTTCAAGTCTGACAATTCCCATATGCGCCCTTCACTTACGCTATGTTACATTGATTCCTGTTTTTTACCTGATATCGCTGTTTTTGCACAAAGCTTTGTGTGTCTTCAGCGCCTCTTTCAGCTTTGTCAGGAAGTAAATTAGAGTTTGACTGAAATACTGTGCTCTGTGCTGACTTTATTGCAGTGTTTCCCAAGTGCATGAATAAATAAATGCATACACGCGAAGGAACCTGACAAAAACATGGTCTCTTCTTGTTATGGTTTCTTTTTCAACTAAAATTTTGTATGCAGTTCTTATTTCTCCCATGAATGCTGCATCTGTGGCCTGTCTCATCTGATGATTTTGTCTCTCAAATAATATTTGGTGGACAGATACAGTAGCCGCGCGGTGTAAGGCATGAACTGTCTTCGCTTGCTCAGACGCTGGGATCGTGAGTTCGAATCCCACCAAGGGTATTCTGTGTTTGTGTTATCCTGTGTTTAGGTAGAGGCCTCGTGACGGGCTAATCACTCGTCCACTTACCTTCTGTGAAAAAAAATTATTACGGAACTGAATAAGAGGCCAGGGCCTTAAATGGGCTCTAAGTGCCGTTGAAAAAAAAATATTTGGTGAAGGGTACAAGTTAGCTCCTTACAATTCATATTTTTGTAGTGTCTGTTACTTTCTCTCTTTCACATATACTTAACTTCTAGAAAGATATAATAATAAATTTTGAAGCTCATGATCAAGTAGTTTTCACCAGTCTTGATTGTTTAATGCTGACATACGTAATCTGTGATGGAGACACTGCAACTCCGCTGTTTTATAAATTTCCATTTCCTTCAGGCATTACTTACTTACTTACTCATGGAGCTGAGCCCTTCTGGAGGAGCCGCCAATTGTGCAGTCACTCAAGAATTTCCCAGCATTTTATGGAACCTGAAGGTTCAATACCGTGTTCACAAGAGCCCTCCACTGGTCCCTCTTCTGAGCCAGATCAATCCACTCAATACCATCCCCCATACACTAGGAATATTCCAATCATCAGTTCTCCATACATAATCATTGTCTTAACAAATCTGAGTGGATACTTTGTGCTACTGTGCAGAAGGTCGCAGGTTTAAGACTGTTTTATTTCGGTACAATCGTCTAGCGGTTTGGAGGTATGCCACTTGTTGACCCTTTCTTGTCTTATTCATGTAGTAGTCTCTTCTTGAAGTCTTCTCCGGTTCTTTGATCTCTCTGGTTTGTACTTCTGTAATAGGTTCAGAAGTCTATGTTCCTTTGAATCCTGTTGCTACGCTGAATCCAGTTGGTTTCACATTTCAAAGTTCATTTTTTGTTCTTAGTTGTGTACTATAAAAGGTAAAGCTGTCCCTGTAACAGGCAATGAAGACCCATAGGGTTGTGAGAGGTCGAGGCTCCCACATTTTCCAGATAATCGGTTTACAGATGGCGGTAAGGTCAGCCTTACGCGCCGACCGCCTTTTACCCTTGGCACTCATTTCTGTTAGAGGCTGAGTCGACCCCAGGGCCATAGTGCGTCTGGAAGGATTAGGCAAATTAAAAAAATCCACCTTGTCGGGACTCGAACCCGCGACCTTACGGCTTGTAGCATAGTGCCTCAACCAACTACACTACCGCGTACCCCCTGTTGTGTACTCTTTCATTGTGATTTAATCCCATGTTAGACTGTATGCCCACTGTGTGAGCTATCTTCATCTTTACTGATGGGACACTTCAAAGATGTAAATAAAAATCAACCACTTGTTAATGGTCATTCAGTTATCACTGAAGTGACAAAATAAAAGTTCGCTGACCTAATAACAAGACAATCATGATTCAGACAATGAAAGCGATGGTCACATTTACAGTCAAAGTGGTTGTTTCTGCACGTTGACCAATGCAGTATAAACTTCAGAGTTTTTTTTTATTGCTAGTGGGTGGGACTAAGTCCCTTGTACTGCGGCCACTTCTGGCCTATTGTACCAGCCCCAGATGATAGGTGAGGGTGACTGTGGAGCAATTGGTGGAGTGAAGATTCGCAGGGGAAACCGAAGTACTCGGAGAAAACCTGCCCCAGCGCCACTTTGTCCACCACAAATCCCACTTGACTAGACCCGGGATCGAACACAGGCCGCCGCGGTGGGAAGCCAGCGACTAACCGCTTCAGCTATGGCCCGGCCACTTTCTAAAGTGTTAAAAAGAGGAGTGGTTATGTTCCAGACACTCCTTGTTTCCTTTGGATATGCAACTGGTGTAATTAGTATGTATTTGTAATGTAACTGTTGGAAGTGTAATAAAATATTTTTTTCCTTTCCCTTGTAGAATTGGAGCTTGGCACACAATGTGTTGTCCAAATGGAAGCACAGCAGACGATCTTACATCATCTGGAAAGGTAAATAAATTACATGACTTGTCACACTCTAAATTAAGTTTCTATTATCCACGGTTTCAAAATTCGTCCTTTGAGGTTTTAAATCCTTCCTCATTCCTGAGCTTCATTGTAGTACCTGCTTTTGACAGAACTGATCATCAGTGGAGATCTGCATGTATAGTATTTTAAATTCTGTCATTGCCGAAACTGATCATAACTGGAGATCTGCATCCATAGTACTGTAAATTCTGTCATTGCTGAGACTGATCATAACTGGAGATCTGCATGTATAGTACTGTAAATTCTGTTATTGCTGAAGCTGATCATCAGTGGGGATATTACATTATATTGATGCTGAATTTTTCTTCCGTTTATTTAATTAAATATGTAAATGCAGCTTATTAAAGACTCTTTTAGGTAAGATTTTGAGAATGTGCGTACGTGTTAAAGTTGTATCAGCGGCTGTGGCTATTAGTGCTGTAAGTGCTCATTAGAGAAATGAGATAATACTGAGGTGTGTCTTATTGGCTCACTCGCACCAACTCTGTCTTGCCTTATCAGGCACCCATGTCATTGTGTTGTGATACATTAACATTTTGTTGTTTTTCATTGTTAAGAACTTAATATTGCGGCTTATAGACCCGTTGCTAAACACTGACTATATAAACAGCAACCATTACTAGGTAACGTCCGCAACATACATGCATGCAGCAATAGAAGAGCCGTTTCTGGGAAACAGTTCAGTAAACACATTCCCGCGGCAAGGGACATGAAAGCAACAATACTGAAACTCACAACTGTAAAATTCGAGTGCTTCTTATATTCAGAGCGATACGGCATGTATGCAGAAGTCTAACTAACCTGTCTTCTTATCTGTGATGACTGGAAAAATCTTATAATTTGTTTACTGATAATCTCCTCTGCTCCCATTTCTTATCTCCCCACATGTCAAACCGTAGAATTGAGCACCAAGTGATAGCTTGTATATATATTACGCAACATAATGGACAGTAAGCTTGTCTGGAGCAGATGCAGTTTCCCTCAAGGAGAAATGTATCTGACTGGTGGACATACCCGTCTACGTGTACGTGTTATGTCATGTAACTGCATGGAGCTGGGCCTTTGAGAAGCCACCAGGGACTCAGCTACTCAAGAATTTCCCAACACTTTATGGAACCCTAAGGTGCATTACTGTGTACACAAGAACCCTCCACTAGTCCCTATCCTGAGCCAGATGAATCCAGTCCATACCACCCCATCATATTTCTCTAAGATCTGTGTTAATATTATCTTCCCACCTACATCTAAGTCCTCCTTTGGCTTTCCCATCAATATCCTATATGCATTCCTCTTCTCTCCCTTGTGTGCTACATGCCCTGCCCATCTGATCCTCCTTAACTTGATCATTCTAATTATGCTTGGAGAAGAGTACAAGTTATGAAGCTCCTCATATGCAGTTTTCTCCAACCTCCTGTCACTTCATCTCTCTTCGGTCCAGACATTCTGCTTAACACCCTCAGTGTGTGGCATAGGCTGTGTTTCACACCCATACAGAACTAAAGGCAAAAGTACAGTCTTGTACATTATCATTTTTACGTTTTTAGACAGCAGAGGAGAAGACAAAAGGTTCTGAACTGAGGAGCAGCAAGCTCTTAATTTCCTCATGTATCAGATTTGAGTCTGCTACTGCCGTTCCCAAACATCTGAAGCGATGTATGCATAAAAATGCGTAATATTTGTGCGTGCGCGCACGTGTGTATGAAATGCTGACTGGAGTATATTGATTGACGTAGTAAAGTGAGCTGCAGCAATTGGGGAACTCTGTTTATGTTAACGAATTTCCGCCACTCGTAAAATAATACCCATAGGCAGATCTCATCGTTTTATGCATTGTTTATAACCTGTATAATTTTGTTAGAGTTGAGGTTAGCATAACGGTGTCCTGTGGGATGTATGTCTCTCTGTAATATGGTAGAAGTTTACTGATATTTTGCTAGAATGTACTGCTTCCATCTTCATCTTGACACTCATTTGACGCCTCACTGACTTGATTTATGCTGAAGGAATTTCTTTACTCAAAGAGAATCCTGTGTTTTAGGTGATTGCGTAATTAAATTCCTAAGATAACTCAGAGCGTGCATGCAAACACACGCTACATTTCTCTCCTTGTGCGTTTGCCAGTGTAGGGTAAAACCAACATTGCAAGTTCCTTAGCTACTGGAGGAACAGTTTAATAGCTGCTAATGTAGAATCAGACAAGAAGGTGGGTGGAGGTGCAGTAACACAGAGAGAGACAGAGCTATGAAGTTACGATATTGCTACATTCAGCTTAAGAACTTGAAGGTTTTAAGACTGTCATGACATGGAACCAACAGTGTGTTCTGCCCTCTTCAAATGATTTGACGCATTAAGAATTAAGTCTGAGGATCTCTGTGCAAAGTCTGGTTTGTCTACCTTAAAAGAAACCAGTAAAACCTGCCTCTTACCAAACAGCAGATAGAAACATTTTATTTTCACAAAAAANATATATATATATATATATATGAATCATGAGCTATAATAGAGTTTCAGTAGTAATGAATGATTGATGCTAGTGGGATCAGCGTGATTCACGTGGAGAACCTCTGCAGCCACACGCTTCTGTTGCATGAATCCCCGGAAACGAAGCATACCCTGTTTGCTGTCCCTTTTTTAGACCTGGCCACTCCCAACAGAATGCGCAGTGGATTTGGTCAAGTCCACTAACAGATAAGAATTGTAAGGTGTTTCTGGGTTATAGCAGGGCCTTAGTTACACAGGGTCACTCTCCCTCCCGCAATGCAGTTATAAGCCACTTGTCATACCTCTCGCGCAGGTAGAGGACAGGGTCCAAAAATGATCCTTTATTATTCTGGTTTATTTACCGACGCTGCCAGTGATTATATAGTGACAATGAATTGGAAAGGATGGGGAAGGATGCAGTCGTGATCTGATTTAAGACACTATCTCGGAATTTGCATGGAGGAACCGAGGAAAACGACGAAAATCCGCAGTCTTGTTGTTGGTTTCACTTACAGCGTACTTGCAGAAATGGTACAAGGAAGGCTGATTTTCGTGACGTGGTTTTTAATGATACATATGTTCTCATTATGAGCCGGGGTAGCGCAGTCGGTATAGCGACTATCTACGGGCTAGAAGACCAAGGGGTCGGAGTTCTAGTCCCGGTAGGCCCAAGAATTTTCTCTTCTTCACGTCGTCCCTGGGGTCCACCGAACCTCCTATCCAATGGGTACCTGGGCTATTTCCCTTGGTGTAAATGGCTAGGGCGTGAAGCTGACCACTCACCTCCAGCTAGTGTCGAGGTCAAGAAAATGTGGACCTATACATCCACTCCCCCATACTCCTTCATGGCGTAGTCCTTAACTAGTTAAGCACAGGGACGACTTTACCTTACCTTTTATGCCGTCGTTGGAGGTTATTATGTAGCTGACTACAGCAGCAGATTCTGTCTTGAGAGGCTGATAGTCGCTCAGCTGGTCAGATTTCTCTCTTTTTGTTTATGAAACCTGAAAGTTCGTTGCTATGTTTACAGGAGCTTTCCATTGGACCTTGTACAAAGCCACATGAGTTCAATTCACATCTTCGTAACATATTTACTGAAAATCGATTTTTGTAATATCCGCCCATCTGCGCTTACGTGTCCCAAGTGGGCTCTTTCCTTCAGGGTTTCCGAAAAAATTTTGCCAGGAGCTCGTCATATTTTCTGTGCGTGCGGCATTCCCACAATCTTCTCATACTCATATATTCCATCACGTAAATAATATTAAGAACGAGGCGAACGCGCATGTAGCATGCATGAGAGACATGAGAAATACAGTTTTATTTCGGAAACTTAAAGAGGAAACTACTTGTAAGTCATAGAAATACGAGGGAGGATAATATTAAAATGGACCGTCAGGAAATAGGGTGTACGTCAGGATGTGAACCAGAGAGAGGTTTTATTTGAACAAATTGAACATTCGGTTTCCATAAAATGCGGACATTTTCCTGATGAGCTGAGCAACTGTTAACTTCCTGAAGAAAGTTTTTCCCATGAAGTTTGTTAGTTGTGTCTAATTATCAGCCGAATTGTAAATTTGATGTAAACAGAATGTGGAAATGTACGGACGGCCTTGTCTGGCAAATCAAATGACTGTTCGGGTATATATGGAGTTACAACTAATAAAACCACGTCGCCTCGCCATGCCGTATTGATTTTCAACCTGTGAGCGCGCTCTGCTCGGAATCCGGTAAAGATAACCGGATCCCGCGCGGCACGGGACCATCTAAGGGGAAACCCCTTTATATTTCGTAACCCACAGCATTTAACCGGGTTTTATTATGCGGTAGCGTAGTTGGTTGAGGCACTGTGATACAGGCCGGAAGGTTGCGGGTTCTATTCCCGATGAGGTCACAGGATTTTTCAATTGACCTCCTTCCAGCCGCACTATGGCCCTGGGGTCGATTCAGCCTCTAACAGAAATGAGTACCAGCAATCTTCTGAGGGTAAAGGGCGGCCGGTGCGTGAGACTGACAACCTCACCGCCATCTATGAGCCGATTGTCTAGAGAAAATGTGGGAGCCTCGACGTCTCACAGCCCTAAGGGCCTTCACGCACTGTTACGGGGATAGCTTTACCTTTACGTTTTCAATATTTCTGAGTTTATTGAAGGGTGCCTTCATGGCTGGCTGTGCTACAGACAGTGGGGAGCTGGAAGAGGCGGTTAGTTGCCCGCATCCGAATGCTCCGTCCCAGGTTTGATTCCAGGTGGAGTCTGTGATGGAAAGAAGGAAGTGGGGCAATTTTCACCGAGTGCTTCGGCTACCCCTCCCAATTCTTATCCTATCACCGACTCTCTATACTCTCGTTGATGACAATGTCATTAAGTAACGGGAGAAAAGAGAGGGCGAATTTGTCAAGCATAATCTGGGATCATGGGCATAGCGATCGGCTGCGGGCTCAACGGCCGGGGTTCGATTCACGGCAGGGATAAGAGAGTTCT